AGTCTAAAAAGCATTGAGTAATTGGAAGGAAAAGATTATGAACAATGAACATTTTTCTCACCTGAGATTCTTTAGTCCAGTTACCTGCTGGTACATCTCTTCACATAATGTAGGTCAGGAAAGGGCAGGTACACCTGGAAGGCTTTCAGGGCACCTGGAACGAAGGCATCAGATGCCACCTCGGGAAGCCTGGATCATTTTCTGCGACTCATGATGGCACACCTACATACAAATATTATTATGAAATGACAGTCACTAATATTATGAGGCCAACATACTGCCTGCCAATACCCAAATATACCCTTCATGCTTTTGAGTTACTAATTTACAAAATGATGTCCAAAGTCCTCATGCCTCAGAAAGGGCTAATTTAAATGTCTTGTTTATTACCATAGATGTATTTGTCATTTTACACATAAAGCTAAGGATTAATTGCATTCTCTTACCTATAACAACAGTTTGTCTAAGAGACCTCTGTGTCTTTATCATCTTGTCTGGACAAGTGTCCTCACACCAGCATCAGTCAGCAGACACCTAACTACAAAGATAAGTAGTTACACACTGTCTAAAATGCTTTAAAATAATTCCAAATAATTTGTTAGGAAAAACCAAGAATCATGAAATTTCTCACCTGAAGACTCCATCATCGCTGGTCTTGCCTGGTTGAGACACGAACCCCTGCACATCCCACTATCAGGACACATATCAGAATACACCTTAAACTACATGGAAAGAAAAAAGTTAGTCTGGGGCAAAGATGTAACATTAAATAGCTGAAAGAAAAAGGGAAGAATGCAGATTTCTCTCACCTGATACTCCTGTCACCTGTGGTGTCTTGTCACATCTCATCTGGTGGAGACAGGTACAACTGCACTGCTACTCTTCAGGATACACCTATGTAGAAAGAAAGAAGAGTTAGTCTGGGGCAAAGAGGTAACATTTAATAACTGGTAGAAAATGTTAATAATGCAGATTTTTCTCACCTGATACTCCTGTCACTTGTGGTGTCTTGTCAGGTCTCATCTGGTGGAGACAGGTACAACTGCACTGCTACTCTTCAGGATACACCTAACTATGTAGAAAGAAAGAAAGAAAAGTTAATCTGGGGCAAAGAGATTAATAGACCAGTAACAAAGTAATTACCAGTAACCAGTAATAAAGAGACCAGTAACAATAACTGGTAGAAAAAGGGAAGAATGCAGATTTCTCTCGCCTGACACTTCTGTCACTTTTGGTATCTTGTCAGGTTTCATCTGATGGAGCAAGGAGGTTAAATTTAACCTCCTTGGGTGGAGACAGGTACAACTTGACCGCTGCTCTTCAGGATACACCTAACTATGTAGATTGTATAAGGAAATAAATTTAAAGTTAGTCTGGGGCAATGAGCTAACACTAAATAGCTGATAGAAAAAATGAATGCAGATTTCTCTTACCTGTCACTTGTGGCATCTTGTCAGATCTCATCAGTTGGAGACAGGTACAACTGCACTGCTACTCTTCAGGATACACCTAACTATGTAGGAAGAAAGAAAAGTTAGTCTGGGGCAAAGATGTAACAATAACTGCTAGAAAAGTGAAGAATGAAGATTTCTCTCACCTGATACTTCTGTCAGCTGTGGTGTCTTGTTAGGTCTCATCTGGTGGAGACAGGTGCAACTGCACTGCTGTTCTTCGGGATACACCTAACTATGTAGAAAGAAAGAAAAGTTAGTCTGGGGCAACGATGTAACACTTAGTAACTGTTAGAAAAAGGGAAGTATGCAGATTTTTCTCACCTGATACTCCTGTCACTTGTGGTGTCTTGTCAGGTCTTTATCTGGTGGAGACAGGTACACACCTAGACTGCAGGACTCCTGTCAGGGATCATGAATAGAAATACATGTAAGTTTAATATAGAAGAAGTTGACATGAGGCAGGAATAAAGGCATGTTACAAAAATTACTACAATACAGTGACTAACACCAGTACCTGATGTTATGTTTAGGTATGCAGCACTATCTCAGCCTGACTCAGGGTTAACTCATGAAAAAGAACCATGGCTGCCAATGTATACTGTGTCATATTTTGAAGCACGAAACACAAGTACAGGTCACTCTCACTAGTGTGTATATCTATGTATAGCTCAGGGCCAACCTCGTGGCCCATAAACTTTATTTGTCAGCCTAATTAAAGCTGAACACAGTTACAGATCGAGACAAACATGGGTTTAGGCTAATCTAGTTCAAGTCAGGGTTATCCTCTATACCTTCTATGGCCAGATTGTGTGTACAATCTACAAAAATGTACATCAGGTCCAATGGTCTGTTTTTCGCGTTTCATTTTTTGGACTCGGTTTCCAAATGTTGTTCCGGTTTAAACCTGTCCACCCCTAACGACTGGCCTTCATTGTCTACTGTTTACACTGTTCAAGATCAAGAAATTCAAATGAGCAGCACCAGGTTGAAATGTGGAACCAAATCATTATCATCTAAGGGTTAAAGCATGGCTAAATACCTCAAGAGTCATCAACACATGAATGCATTCACTTAGTTAAAAACTTAGAAGCATTCTGCAAAAAAAAGGCAATCTTCAAAAGTCACATTGGCCCTGTCCTTGGTGCTGAATATGTCTTTCCTACAACATTTGCCAGTTTTATCAACTACATGTATAGAAAGTGATTGCTCCTAGAAGTCCACATTACCTACTTTTTATGAATCTATATTCAAATCTAAAGAAAACGGCTAATTTTTAACATTATTGATTTTTTGTGTTTTCCTATGCATAGTGTTGTACACAGCATAATAGAAATAGATCCAGTTGTGTATTTAAAAGGAGCCAACTGAACAAAAAAATGTCTGCAGCTTTAACAGTAAAAAATGCAAAAATATCGCAATCATATATCCGTAAGTAACATGTTTTGTCTCTGATAAAAAATAAAAGACTTTCCATGTCTAGAAATGGGAAATAAGAACATGTAACATGTAGAAAAGAGATGTGGCGTTAATCATAACCTTCTGTCTAAGATCAATATGAATACTATACTATGAGCCATTCCCTACTATCTTTACAAACTCTCTTCGACAAAAAAACATGCAGAACCAAATACACATAACTGCACCGTCACATAATATCAATTCGAAAGCTCTCTGTTACAGAAGGATTTTTATGCTGTATACAAATAGAGTTTGGACTAGCCATGCACCAGTTCTGATACAGATATATATTTAGTCAGACGTTCCCACAAACACACACGGCACATGCAATATATGTACTTCATTTTAGGAACCTTTCATCTACATACAAAGCTAAAATTTTGTGTTCGAATACGAGAGACTTTGGAGACACCACTGCCAACCGTCCAGTTTAAATTAGTCAAGTTAAAACTCCGAACCGTTTAATAAGTTTGTGCACTGTATTCGCCATGTGACGCAGATAAGCGCCATTTTGCCCACACCATGGCCTGAGCTGTGACAAGGTTTTCAGAGGGATTTTTCTCGGTTATTCCATCATATTTTGCCTAGTCCTATTCAGTATCAAATCTTAGTAAACCTGGGAAGAAAGTTAAGAACGACTCACCACTTAAAACCGACGAAACAAGTCTTTCTAAGACAGATTTTACCCCACGTTTCTCCAGTCCGCCATGTGCAGCCGCCATCTTGTTCTCCCTTCTCCAGCCGTGGTGACACCTGTTGCTGGTGCCCGCCATTAGCATAATGAGATTCTAATTCAATTTGGCAACTTTTATGAAAAATGATCAATCTTAATCCAAGTTTTATTCAATATCGAGCCAAAAACACTTAATTTGAAACAAAAAGGTTCGGATGATTACTTTTTACACAACAGAGACTGAGAGAGACCGAGACTTGAGAAGAAACTTTATTGCCGATCGTTACAAATTCAATTCTCTCTTAAGACAACACCGATTCCCAGAAACGCACAGCACATCAGTTTGTTGTTGGTTTCGCCGTGTATAAAGTCCTTGGTTTCGCAGATCATAATGACAGCAAAAGAAACAGCTTTTATATATCATGCACCAGCCACTGAACGGCTGAGCATTTCTTCTTGTCATTGTATTCGTATCCAGCATTTGCTGGTTACTTCTGTCTTTTACGAACAGTTTCTATTCAAATATGTAAGAACACAAGTACCCAGTAGATCTATCTATATAAGTCTAGCCGATACAGATATAAGAAATTATGCCAGGGGAGTTAATCCGCTAAAGGAGTACAGTACATTTGCTTGCCCCTCCTGAGTCTTTTGTCGTAGTTTCTGCAGGGGTGCCATAGAATTCATCAGATTTTTACGGAATTCATACGATCCTTACTAGTAGAAACAGACTAAGTTTACGGAATACATGCTATCCATTACGCAGAAACATACGAAGTTTACGGAATACATACGATCCTTACTAATTTGGGGTCATTTGGTGACTTGCCGCAGCGATCACCGGTTCCACCGGTTCCCAGCATCGCCCTGCTATTTGATCTAAAATGCAGGCTACTATGTCGTGAAAAAAGTCCGCATAAGTGCAGTTTGGGATTTACCAGGGCAGGACAAGCCCTTAAAAGTCTTTGAAACCAAGATATTGTAGGGAGAACATCGCTATAATAGTCCGCCATCTTGAATTTGCTGCCGATCGTGGTGCAAGTCACCAAATTAGTAAGGATCGTATGTATTCCGTAAAATTCGTATGTTTCTAGTAATTGATCGTATGCATTCCGTAAACTTCGTATGTTTCTAGTAAGGATCCTATGTATCCGGAAACTTCGTATGTTTCCTAGTAAGGATCGTATGAATTCCGTAAAATTCTGATAAATTCTTTGGCACCCCTGAAGTCTAGCCGATACATAAATAAGACAAATTATGCCAGGGGAGTTAGTCCGCAAGAGGAGTACATTTGATTGACCCTCATGAGTCTTAGTTTCTGGCTCAAGTATGAAGTTTCAAAGCTTCTTCTTCAACTTTCAAGCTTCTTCTTCGTCGTCGTCTTCTTCTTCTTCTTCAGATGATGATGATGAGGAGGAGGATGACGACGACGATGATGATGATGATTGCTCATCCAGTGGCGTGTGTTTAGTGCCGATGTGCTTCCTTAAGTGAGTCATCTGCGTCGCAACGTAGCCACATTCCTCACATTTGAACGGTTTCTCGCCCGTGTGTGTAGCTATGTGGTCCTTCAAGTGACCCAGGCGCCGAGAAGAATACTCACACAGTTCACACCGGTACTTTTTCTCGCCAGCATCATGCGTGGCCTTGTGTTCTTTCAAAGCTGACTTGGTGGCTGCAGAATAGTCACAGGAGTCACATTTGTGCGGTTTTTTCCTGGTGTGTTTTGCCGCGATGTGCCGTCGCAAATGAGCCTTTCTCAGCGTACGGTAGTCACAGTGTTCACATTTGTGCGGCTTGTCGCTTGTGTCATGGATGCGCGCATGTTGAGTCAGATGAGACACATGTGCCGTAGCGTAATCACAAAACTGACACTTGTGCGGTTTCTCTCCAGTGTGTGTCGCCATGTGTATGTTCACATCGGACAGTCGAGCGCCTGCATAGTCACATAGACCGCACTTAAACGGCCTCTCGTTACTATGTACTATCATGTGCTGTTTTAGATCTGCCTTCACTGCACCTGAATAATTACACTGGTCACATTTGTATTTTTTCTTTCTAGTATGTCTGGCCTCGTGTTGTTTCAAATGATAGAATCGCGCGGCGGTATAGTCACAAAGTTCACACTTGTATGGCTTCTCGCTACTATGCACAACCATGTGCCGTTTCAAATCATTCGGCAATACCCCGGCGTAGTCGCAAAGTTTGCATTTATAAGGTTTCTCACCACTATGCGTGGCTATGTGCCGCTTCAAATTAGACATCCGCACTGTTGAAAAATCACACAGTTCACACTTGTAACGTTTCTCGCCTGTGTGGTTGGCCATGTGGAGATTAAGACTAGACATGAGTGATGTAGAATAGTCACAAACCTTACATTTGTAAGGTTTGTCTCCAGTATGCGAGGCCATGTGAGTCTTTAGATACGCCAACTGGGAAGCCGCATAACCGCAGACTTCACATTTGTAGGGCTTCTCACCGGTATGTGTAGTCATTTGCCGCTCCAAGTGATTCTTATGATTAGCGGAATATTCACACACCTCACACTTGTACGGCTTCTTGCCTGTGTGAGAGTTCATGTGGAATTTCAAACTCCTTTTCGTTGTCGTGGTGTAGTCGCATTGCGTGCAGGAGTAAGGCCTGTAGTCGCTGTGTTTTGCCATGATGTGCGATTTCAAGTTAGCCTTCTCTGAGGTGGCGTATTCACACAGATCGCAGCGAAACGGTTTCTCACCGCGATGCTTTACCTTTACATGCTTGGTCAGAGCGTACTTGTTTCCCGTGGAATAGTCACAGCGGTCACAACGAAACGGTTTCTCACCGGTGTGTTTGACGCGGATGTGTTGTTCTAGATGCCACATTCGAAGTGAGGAAAAATCGCACTGCTGACACTGACACGGTTTCTTACGTTTCACATTTGCTTCATGTCCAGCATCGTCCTCGAAGGATGATGAGCTTCGTTTCTTCCTACTTTCTCTAGTTTTACTCTTGTCATTTTGTGTCTCCATTTTTAGTTACGAACACAGTAGGGTATGAATATCGGCAATCTTGGCGTCTAAGTGGTCTCCCACCGGTGTGAAACTTGTCGTGACGTTTCCCTATGTAGTTTTTGTCTGCACAACTGTTGTAATATCGTTTGTCGTTTGTGGTTGAACTTCAGATCCGTCCCTGTACGCCCTTAAAAGATGGATAAAACAACATTGTAATTTTGTATTTATTAATTCAATGTTTTAGATTTACTGTCTTTACTTTTTAACTCCACATAAAAACATTTAAAAAATCCTCTTGTTACCCGTACGTACATATTTTAACTTACCCACAAAGTTGGACTATATATGGGCGTTTCTAAAAATCCCTCAGCCGATAACGGTGTTTGAGTATCGATAAGTCTTGTTGACACATTTCTCTCCTACTGGCTTCGAGTGGTGAACAAACTATGAGTCGCTTGAACAATCCACCGAGGTTAAAATTTAAACAACCTGCTTGAACAAAGTTAGGGGTGCATTCTTGGTATACCGGAGAATTCTAGCGCCCACTACTTAATAACACTCCATATTTCCACATATTTTACTCAAATAGATGTACAAAAACTTACCAGATTTGTCCACTTACGATCGGTCCTATATTCCCCGTGAAATCGGTGAAACTCTAAGGAAATTGTGAGCTCACTTGCCACGTGCCAACAGGTGTTCCACCATCTTGTCTGGAAATGCTCGGGTTGCGCTGATTCAACTCCCCACAATGCACCACGGGACCTTGAGCCCAAGCAGATGTTGGGTACCGGCTTGTTCTCCTGCTGATTTTGCGGAGTTTTGTACCGTTTTTTTCTAGTAATCCTTACAGACAAATATAATACACACACAATTAGATAGCAGTAGTATACGAACATGCATGGCGTTGCTATGTCTGATGTGGTTGTTACAACTTACACGTCACAAATTTCGAACAGAGAACAAACGAATCCGTTTGTTCCGTTTCTATTGTTCTGTCACATTTGCCCTTGACAACGGTCCGAACGTGTCGCCATGTTGGATTCGAACGATGCCACAACAAACTTGACTTCATCACGCAAGACGGCTTCTTTAAGAAGTACAGTAGGGTAATCTTTAAGGCCCTGGTCAGGATAGTGCAATTTCCTCCAACGAGTTCTATTTCTATCTTCTTCAATGTACGGGCTTGAAGATGAAGGCAGTGAGAGTCATCTGGAAGATAGATGTTGCTGTATCTCAAAAAAGGAGGACGAACGCGATACCAGTAAGAGTCTTGGTGATCAAGACTTAAGGAATGATCTTGAGACAAGATCCAAGGAGATAGTTATAAGCTGTCGAGGCATCTCAAAGAGAAAAGGTGGTGCATGCTCATTGGAAGAATCGAGCACAGAAAAGGAGGATGCAAAAGCCGCAGCCGAATCACCTGTTGTTGGATCCACTGAAAAAGTTCAAGGTGACTTACAGGTGGTTCAAAGTCACGAGTCTATCACGTGCCCGTCACGTGCCAGGAGGCGACAAGACAGCGAGTCGACGGCGAGTTCGTACCGGTTCATGTGCAGGATCTGTCACGGCGGGGAGGATGAGGAAGATGCGATGATCAGTCCCTGTCTGTGCTCCGGATCTCTACAGTACTGCCACCAAGAGTGCCTGCTCAAATGGCTCGGCTGGAAAAGTTCCTGGACGTGTGAATTGTGTTCTCACAATTTCAGCATTGTAAACCACGGCCTAAAAAGACCATCAAAGGTAAAATATCTATCGATGTAAAAGATCTAGGGTCTCATTGTGAATTGTATGTAGTACATCACGAGAAGAGAAACGTTGCTTTTGAAGCAAATTGAACTGTCAACAAAAAACAACCATATGATTTGTATATACATATTTGTATACATATGTTTTTATACAATTTACTAGGAAATTTCGGATTGAAGGTTCCGTGAATATTGAATAGTTTTATCCGGTTAAATAATAGTATACAAGCTTCGGTCAAGTTTGCAGCGACATCTGGCGACACCTTTGTGCAATGAAAAGTTACTGTAGAAGAACTGGTCAGACATTTTCCCTCCTCGTTGATAGTGGAAATGCGTCAAACTTGACGCGACCGAGAGATGGTCGATGGTAGTCCTCCTGCTAGCCCTGTCCGCCATTATTGGATCCACGTACTTTCTAGTCTGGTCCTTCACCAATCCCATGTCAGAGCAGCAGAAAACGGCACCCGAATTCCAAGGTAAATTGGAAAAATTTTATTCTGCCACTTTTGCTTACATTTCGTATGTAGCTTGGTTAACAGCTAATCTAGAGCTAGCCTAGAATCCAGTATTGTTCAGATTTAGGTCCTCTTCCCAAGTCGCTACCCTAATAGCTAACAATGGGCGAGCAAGGAAGCCTAAATAGGGTGATATCTAGACTACAAACCCGCATCTTTTCTCTATTCCCAGTGTGTTACGCCCTGTACGTGATCTTGAACCTGTTTTCCCTCGGGATCGTGCTGTTCTACGTCCGGCCGATCGCGGCGATGGTCAACAGGTGGCGGGCCATCAACCAGCGACTACAGGTGAGCAGATCTGAAGACACGGTCTTCCGTTCAAAAGCGACATCTAGTGTTTTGAAGCTGAGTAATATTGGAAGATTGGGAACGTACAGGCCGAAATAAACCATGACCTGACTAAGTAACTAACTCACTTTGACACTTGAAAAATACCAACTATCTGCCAAAATCTAAGATTCTATGACTACAGTTGACTTGTATTGTATTGTATTGTTGACATCAACGAAAACAATACAGAAGAGTCTGTGTCCTCCCATAGGTTCAAGACTACGCAGGCCGTTTGAAGAAAAGGCGCCTTTCCGAGTGTTCAAGTATCCTGGTCCTCCCGTCTGTAGCTGTGGTGACGTCTGAGGTTCTAACGTCTATACAGCTCGTTCCCATGGACAATGTCGCGAGCCAATCACAGGTGGGAATCACCTTCTCGTATTCGGAGCAGCAAATACGTATGATCTTTTTAAACATTTCTTGATGAATAATTTTTTGAGTGGCCAATATAAGTTGCAGGCAATTTCGTTTGTCTTTCCGTTACTATTTAACGATGTAAATGCTTTAATTGGTTTCAAATCCGTGCTTTTATTTGGCTTCTTGCAGGTATAACTCCATGCAGGAGGCCTACATGCACCCATACAAGAGCGACATGGAGCGACTTTACATAGAATGACATTGGAATAAGTTGACCGTCATACCGCCTTCAGTGTTATTATAACCATGACATAGTTTGGACCGCGAGTCTAGTATACTGCATCGTAATGTCTTTAAAGAAACTTTGCTAGTGCAGAGAAGTTTTTCCCTTTCCTTCGCCTCTTGGACAGCATATGATGTCTTTTGCAGTTGATAGTTGCCAAAATGAGTTACAGGATTTAAGCATAATTTCAAAACAAAATGTATATAAATGGAAGTCACGATTTGACGACTTGTGTCCGTTTCATGGACATAATGCATGGATGAAATTACTCAGTTAATATAATAGATGGACATGGTGGCAACAATTTGTATAGAGTTTTGGTGGTTCTTTGCATTCTTTCCCTATCCACTGTCTGCTGCAATTTCAACAGTCATTCTCCTTGTGAGACTGTATATTTTTTCATACATTTCTGCTGTACCGATATAATCGTACGCCTTTCCAACCAGCCCCTCGCCTGATCATGACCTGGGCATTTGCTCTCAGAGTGGGTCCGCAGTTCCCCAGGCAGACGCTAGGTGTGTCGTTACCAGATAGCTCGAGGCCCACGACTAGTCGCGGCATTGTCCAATGGAGATCTTTTAAAAACCCTACCCTTACGTAACGGCGAAACTACACAAGACTGAAACCATGCACCGTCTGTCTACCAAGAACCGACATGGAAAGAGCCGGGTTTGCCCAAGGCCATTTTTAAACCATTTCTAAGAAACTTCTACTAACAAAAGGCAACGTTGTGAATCCATGGGACGATTCGGACGACTACATGGAGTAGGAAAGGAGAAAGCAAAGCATGGAAAAATCAGGAAAATATCAACACGGAAAATTTAGGTATACATTAGAAAAATGCGTTTTATTACTATGCCACAGAAAACTTTAATACTAGTGGTAGCTGGAAAGTCTTAAAAATCACAAAATTCATCAATTGAGACCGTGAGGTTTGATGGGCTGGGTTCATTTGTTTCCTTGTATTCTGCCACGGTGGAAACCCGTTCTTCCTTTCTGTTACATGCACAATTTCAATTTATGGTAATGACTGGCTTGTTTACTATTGCCACATGGGCAACGACTGACTACACGAGCTGAGACAGGTGAAGTGATAAAACAAAGAAAAGACCAGAAAAGACAAGATGAACAATAATGCGAACGTATGAATCGTGCAAGACTGGATGTTTCCAGAAAGGTAAGTCTTGTGCAATCGATTGTAATCTGGCTTGAAATCGACATCATTGATGACGTCAGCGGGCCAAATTTAGAGCAGACTTCATATCCATGTGGGACACCTCGCCCTTGGAATATACCAAATAATCACAAGTAGGGGGAGGTGGATTTGTGTCAATGTTTTATCAGTTGTTCGTACTGTTTATAGTGTGTCAAAATTCTTTCATATATAACTATTTATTTACGGTTTGGGCTTGAATTAAGAAATACATTCATTTTCTTTGTATAATTTCATTTTGGCTTCTTAATAGTTTGGCTCTACATATACGCCATCAGTAATATGCATCAAGAACGATGAAACAGACAAAACATGAAACTAAAAAAAATGAATTTTCCTTTCAATATATAAAACGCCCCTATCCGTAATTTCAACCGTAATTACCACAGTTCTTGACTGTCCATCATTTTCGATAATATCAACAATTAGGGTCAATTCAATCTAATTATCTCGTTTATCGATGGATTTGGTGGTATGTATGATCCGGCTTTCCGCATTTCATGCAAATGTGCAACGGATACGAACTGTAAACCGAGGGGTTGGTTATCAAAACACGGCCGAAATGATATGGTATTGGCAGGAAATCATTAGCATAAGATGATAAGACCATTTTCCTGGACTGTCGGTGTCAGGTATCATTGATTGATAACTGAAGAGGATCACTGGTTCGGGAATTTTCTTTCCTGGAATATAAAAACACCTGACGGGTAGAAAAATGATGTCAAATGACTGAATGTCCTGGAAAATCAATTGATGGCATTGGAGTCATTCGATGAAAGTAAAATTCTCATTTTTAAAATTTTTTTGTACATCATTATTGCTTGTCGGTGCATTTGGAAAATAACCACAAAGACAAAGGCGACATTTCGTCACAGCTGAATAAAAAGGAACCTGCTATTGATTAAGAGTTTCCTCTTTTCTATTTTGGAAAAGTTGCCACTTTACCGAACTTTTACACGTCCTACTGGTCTATAAAAGAATATTTTTGTCAGAAATGGTATCAGGGCAGGTTGGAAAGGTAGCGTATGTATAAAATCTTAATCTCAAACATCTGCTTGAAGATTTATATTTCCTATAGTCTCCCTTCTCACGTATTTCCCGGTACATGACGTAAGTCAGGGCCGCGGCGTCCGGATTTCTTGTGAAACCTTGCTGCTAACGTACCACCGGTGGGTCGCCGGAAACCACCCCCATTGCGCAAGCCTGGGTAAAGAACAACACCCACCCGCCAACTACGCGGGTGATTCCAAGAGATGAGTCAACGTGTGGCGCAGTACAACAGTTGCCTCGTACGGTCTATACCAACAACACACAGCGATGTCTAACGTGTAACGCCAACTCTGTATAGCATCGACTGGGCTTCTGTGTTTATTTACCTGTCATCGTGGCGTCTAGGCAGAAAGGTAGGTTGTATGATAGTACGAATTATGCCCCAAAATGTACGATTTGACGGTTTTGTGTACTATAGGTGCGATTGTAACGGTACACGGCGGCTTGTTCGGGCGGGTTGGGACCTTCCCAAGTTTTCGTTCCCGGTTCATTTGTCAGCCAGGCGCGGCCAGGCGTCAGGTACTGACACGTTGCCGCCAAATGTGGAGGGCAGAGGCAGATAAAGGAATCCTGGTAGCCTTGGTCGTTTCAAGGTTTGTTGAATACAATGGGGATTTATGTGTACGCGTACACGTAGTTTGCTGTACTTTGGGTTTTTTGTGGGGACGTTTTATTTTCGGTATTTAATTTCTGTACGTGATGCCAGGTGTTAAAATTAGCACGCCAAACCATGCTTGTCGCAGACTCAAAGAAGTATAACGCTGAAATTCTGAAAATTACTATAGAAACGCCAGGGACCGATTTTAAAAATATTCTTCTTTTAGAAGTAATTGTTATTCTGAGCGTCTATAGTCTATACAAAGGTGATATCGTCACTAACTTCCCCAACTTCCGTGTGCCCTGACTTGCCCGGAAACTGGGAGGATGACTTCATGGCGCATCATTGTTGGAGCGTGTCTCCGCATATATAACAATTTTGGAAAAGGAATCACACGTATACAAGATGATAAAGTAAGCTAACTATAGAAAGGTATTTGCGGTCATTGTCAAAAGAAGGAATGTCCTGCAATGCTCAAAAACAACATTCGGATTAGGAAATGGCTATTGGAAGGATGATCCTGTCAATAGCAGAAATGTTTGCACTATTCACAGGACCATCCTGTCAATAGTGCAAATATTTCTGTTATTGACAGGACCGTCCTGTCAATAGTGCAAATTTTTTCTGTTATTGACAGGATCATTGCAAATTTTTCTGTCGTTCAAACGTATGAAAGCCTGAGTCTATTGACAGGATGATAATTTCAAACACTTGATATTCAATGTACTTTCCTTTTATTGGTGTGTTTTGATAAATTTCTTGGAAACATCACTGTTATCATTTTATTGTTGATGAATGGTCGATTTGGTGGAACGTTTAGAAAATGATGCATTTACCCTAGAATTAGCCAATTAAAATATGTTTGTTGTGTTTTAATTAATTGTAGGGCGGCATTAAAATTGCGCATGACACAAAATTTGATGATACAGAATTATAAGTGAAATTTTTGACTCCAAATGTATCATTAGTTTGAGGATGTAAATACATACTAGTAACGTTAATGTGAAATACTGTCGTCTGCAAAAAAACCTTAGGTTTTGGCCATTTATTTCTAACGTTGCAGAAGTTTGCCATTTCGCTTATCTGGTTTTGTTTCTTTGTTTCAGACAGGCGTATCGACCAGATATTTGTGGATTTGTGTGAAAACTGTTGACTTTGTTGAGAGCTATTGGCAAGGTCAAGATATTCTGAGGTGATTTCTGACCACGGAGGAAAATACGTCGTCTGCTGGACCGTTATTTACCGCAAGTCGAAAAAAACGTCGTAAATCGCCACCGCAAAGCGGCAAACTGTCGTGAAACTAAGCCGCAAACCGACCAAACGTCGTAAACCCGGAAGCGGGGTGTCGTAATCGTCGCTGCCGTTGAACGTGCCAGCCTTGCGCGATGGACTTGCCGCGGGTCGGGAGCAGCATGGCGGAGGTGTCCAGGTGTACGAGACGGAAACAAGCTTGTCCGCGGCGGAAAAAAGGTGAGGACGACCGCAAACTATCTTGTCTTGGGGTGAAAATGATAGATCTGTGTATATGTTGTGAATAACTCGTCAATGACGGCCGTCCTGGGCCGGAAGGCCGCGCTATCGCCATCTGTCCGCTCACCTAACGGTACGGGCAACTTTCCCCCTGTGTGGCTCCATTGATCTAGGTTAATGCGTACCTGGGCTGGGCCGTTGCCATCGCTTGTCGGGGTCACCCAGCGGGAAAATCCATCAAAATTCTGTCACGACGGGAAAAAGATAAGGCCAAGGCCTGGTAGTTTCAGATCGTGTGCGAATTTTGTGCTTTGTAATGCCGGAAAAGCGTTGGGTTGACACCGTTCCAAGTTAGCCCCCGCCTAAGCTGAAGTCCCCCGCCCTCGCCCGTACGTGGCTGCCATACCTGGCCGATCGCAGCTGTCCCCGCCTCGAGCAAAAATACCTGCCCGATTCCCTCACAATGTAGCGGAATCGATGCTCCGTTGTCTCCTGTGAACGTCATTTTCCCTCAGCGTTGCCTAGGTTGAGGTGTGTAATTTTGCGAGGTTTGTTTGGGGCGAGGCAAACTTGTCCTGGCCGGTTGATTACCTGGCCTTATTTGTCACCGGCTGCCTGCTTATTTATTTTCCGCACATGTCAGACATTTCTGCGACTTGGGGACGGAAGAAAGTCGCTTCAAAACCTCCCCTACACCCAGGTTTACGTACAAAAACAACCTTGATACGTGTCAAAACATCTTGTTTACAGTTTCATTTTGCAAATGTGTTCATCAGTTGTCCTTGTAGCGACAGGCCCGGGACCGGGCGCATTGTTTGTCCCGTAATTTGTTTACCGTGCGTCTGTGCTCCAAACCAGTGAAAGTGTGCACATCTTCACCCTACCGACTGTCTTATTCCTTAAATCTTGTTTTCTTGAGTGAGTGGATCATGTTTTTACATCGGTTGGTAGAATTTCGGGGCTTCAAACGATGGCTGTAGTTTCCGTTGGGGTTCTCTTTGAAGTACCTGACCGCACACAGCTAGTTCGTCACGTTTATTTTCACACCGTCTGCTTTTCAAACGAGCGAAAGTAAAACATTTCCTTGGCAAACACAGGTTTTTTCCACGAAGTGGACGCCGTCCCTGGCCACTTTCCAGTCGATTTCCCGGGATTTGAGGGCCGATATCGGCGGAAACTCGGGTGTAATCCCCGCTGAAGCCATCGCGCGGCTACGGCACGAAGTTTGACATGTTGTAACGAATGACCCACAGGTGTAAACAAAGGAAATACGAGCGCCGATATTTCCCCGCCGCCAGCCGTGTCTAAATTTGGTCTCCCCGGCGACAACCTCGTATTTGACCCTTGCATATTGACAAGAAGCTACGAAGAAAAAAGCTGACAGGAAAAGTCAGGGTCTTCCTGTGCTTAGGTGTTGTTGAAAACCTTGTAGTTACTACCTGGTACCGCCACAAGCTTGCAGCAACCCAGTAGGGGACCAAACCTCAAAGTCTTGTACCTTCACCGCTTTCTGGTCTTTTCTCACAACTTAAACCCTTCTAGAACTCCTGCAATACACAAAATATCACAAGCTTGTCAGAAAACTCCAGGTATTGGTCAGAGTTTGTGACACATTTTTATTCAGTTTCAGTTGCACAAAACTTCAAAGGCAGAGACATGTGTGAAAACCTAATCCCTGTATTAATGAGATCAGAAAACCCTTGAATGGGGGAGGATGTTTTTTCTCTTTGGCTTTTTTGTTACCTATTTCCCTTTGTCACCTGGGCCTTGGGTAAGAAGATTGTTGCCTCCTGCGGTTATTTGTTTGTTCATGTGACTGTCACTGCATGAATTCTTTCCCAAACTGCCTTCCCTGTGTGAAGAACGCCAGATGTCAGGCCAACCTGGGTTCATGTTTCCCCCTAAGGGACGCTCAAAAACAAGGTGTGCTGCTTCACCTCCCCTCCTACACCTTTCCAGCACAACCCTTCAAATTCTCTCCCAGAAAAATCTATCGTTTACGCACAGTTTAGTAAAGTATTGACAAGGTATTCTGTTCGGAGGGTTACATAACGAGGAATTGGGGTGCGAATGTTAAAAAGCATTGTTTAATGACCCACAGGTGGAAAGTGTTACCGGTTGAAACCGGAGCCGTGCACACCCTTACCTTGCAAATTTCACATACCTGAGGCTGGAACATGGCGCCTGCGAGCCTTGGCACGGCGACAGGAAACGCCGGAGAAGAAAAGGGGCTGGCAGGGCACCTTGTTGTCAAGGTGTGCTCTGAAGAAAAACAGACGACGTACTTGTAACTTTAGTGTAAATAAAATAACAACATTACTGTATCATCAATTAACAGAAGATGAAATGTTATGTGCAAGATGTCACCTTAGTTTAAGCACTTCAAAATGTGATACTAGTAGTAAGTTTGATTTCAAGGTGTTAACCGTGAAAATTCAGGAGCTGTGTTATCTAAGGTGGGACTGCCAGCCATCACACCATCTGATATTCACTCCACGTGGATGTACCATTGATTTTTTACCTGCTCCCATTTTTCCTACTAAGTGCATCCGGACCTTCCGGTTGTTTTATTGTCAGACGAGGCAAGACCTGTCAAAACGTTGGCTCGGTGGGCTGTTGGAAGAGGCAGCAGCTATATAGACATCGGCTGACAGCCAGAAATTCAGCTGTCATATTTTCCACATACCCTTAGAGTAAAACTTATCTTTCTCTATCAGTATTTTCCTACTGTTAGTCTGAAAGTAACTAAAATGTCAGCCTTTGGGTATCTCCCTGTCAAGCTAGTAAAACCTATGATTAGGTTGTATGTGCCATTTATTTCAGTTGTTTTTCTCAGGGAGGATTTGGGTAAGAACACCTATCCAGCAACAAAAGGTAATCCCATGATTAGATTAAGTTGTGTATTCAGTCTGCATAACGCTGGCTCTGTTCCGACTATGACTAAGCCCCGGGGCTGACAGAGACTAGGTTAATTTTTCTGCTATTTGATTGGGAATTATTTCCCCCAGTCATCGTCCGTTGTCATCGTCTGGCCGTTGTTTGGATTTTTGAAGGGCGGGCGACAACAAAAAAAACGATCCTGATGACGCTACGCAGTCGTCACGAGGCCTATCTGGATGAAATCCCATGCCGCCAGTTCAGGGATAACACGGACGTCAAAGTGTCTGCTATCAATTTAAATGTAATTATTTCAGCACACACACCTGCACCTGGCTGCCCACCTTTTTTGGAGGGCCGTGCAGATTGCTCGTCACTCCGAGGCCTCGCCTCACACTTTCATTATCCAACAAAGTCAACATTCGCCAGCGCCTCATTTCCTAGTAACCTTTGAAAGATCGTCCTCCAAATTCAGGGCTTAACAGCAAGGCTAAAAGGAACGTAACTTTGTCTCACCCTGCCAAGGTGACCCCCACACTAATCTTTCCTACCACATTAAAAGAGCGGTTTCCACCTCAAAGTAATGTACCAATTAATATCCCCTCTTACTCCTCCGTGCACTTTATAGCGTCGAGTAGCCACTGGCATAAATTTTAACCCCCTGATTGCGGCGCGATTTCTGGCGTTTGGGAGGTTTCGCAGGTGGATTATTTTCTCCAGGATGTGCGAATACACCTTGTGGTCGGAGTGAGGGTTCAGGTACTTCAACACAATTGCTGTAAGGGCTTTTGAAGCAGGGTGGCCCTTCACACGTGGCGGCCCCCCTTTCTTTACCTGTAACAGGAGCCCCTTATCCGCGTGTTCCATTGTTTGTCTGGGTACACGCAACACCTGAGTTCTCGACGAGCCCCCCTTTGTTCGGCGGGGGATAACGTTACAGTTTGAGGTAATAATATTTTGATTGGCTGTAGCCTAAACACACAAGGAGGTTGTTAAGTTTGTGAAGTGAGCAGAGAGAGAGAAAAGTTTGCTCCCTGGCTTGTTGACGTGTGGCAGGGGTTTAGACAGGCCTAGACAGACGGGTTTCTGGCAAGGTTGGTTGATAGAAAAAGGTGCCAATGTTAAATACCTGGTGGCTCCAACTTATCGGCAGCTTTTATTGCAAAGTCAGGCCCGGTGCTTATTGAAATTCCGTCTGGCGTCAGCCCTGGTTTTATCGTCCGTGGATTCCGGACAAACTAAAAAGGTGTTTTTGAAAGCACCGGTGGCCACAAAAGTGAGGTGGGCTGAAAGCATGCATCCTGGTAGGGTAATGGGGCGACTATAAAAGGACTCCAAATCACCTGTGCTGGGTGTTTGTCAGTAAGGAATGAAAGGAAGGAGGGGAATAAAGGGGAATAAAAGGTGCATCTGTGCAACACTCCATATGGCCGGGGACGGAAAAGGTACGCAGGCTACAAAAGGCACAGCAGAGGCCAGGTGGAGGGATGGAAGAGAGACGCATACAGGGACAACCAAATCAAGAGGGAGGGACCGTTTTAGCACGGAGAGAACCTATCCCACAGAGACATTGTCTGAGTGGATTGATATTCTGGAGACGTCCTATTGTCAGGTGGAGATGTCTCTACGCACCTTTCTGTGGCTGTTCATGGTCTGTTTGGGAGGTGAGTGGGTGGGGGGCAGATGTCAGCGCGTGTGATCCATTCAACAATCGTCCCCCCGGACAGAGGTGACACGACACTGCCCCACCGCTCTTTTGTGAGGCGTGGAGTCATCAGCCATTGTCCTGTTGCACGTAATCGTCAGTCCGCCTACCCTACAGCAGCGGGAACAACAACAATCCCCCACTGATAACTTTTACAGCCTTCCTCGGGTGATTTTTTCCCCCAACTCCTGTTAATCAGTTTGATGGCATGGCAACTAACGACACACATTAATGCCTGTTTATCCAGTGATTTCCAGATTTGTTTATACGGGAGCGCGGCACAGGAAAACACCCTAACCTTTGATAGTGGCCTGGAATGTCCAAACTTTATCAGAGGCTGGCGCCAGGCCCCACCTTACTTAGTCTACCTGGGGGGAGTTTACGTGACGGTTCAGAGGAAGTTGAGCGGCAGGGTTAG